CTAAAGCCTTGATGTTTACATATGATTGTATTTCATTGAGGATTTTAAAATTGTCTTGGGAACAGCATAAAAATAAAATGTTAATCTTTCCACTATAAATATGACGAGCTATTATCATAACCAAAACCAGGTTTCGCTTCTGTCCAGCTAAACTAACATGATACTAATAATTCTGAGCCGAAGATTACATCATTCTTAATTAACACTCTGCTACAGTTGTTAACATCCTCCAAGACACCATGTTATCATCACCACAAGTTCTGTAACAATCTTAAAACCATGTTTAACAAAGGTTGGCCTCTTAGTCTGCAGCTACTTTTAATTGCTTTCTTTGCTGGCAATTAAATACGTCTAGATAAACAAACATTTCATTTTACATAATTCCTAATAACATTTTTCAAGACAATTTCAAAGTCTAGGTGGCCTTATGCCTATAATTACTGTTTATCAATACAGTGATATATTGGACTCAACAAAATGTCTTAACCAAAGTATACAAGATTAATCAAAACATGGTAATTAGTGGTGATATTGACATATTGTGATCTACATAAAGTAGAAAATAGCAAAACTGTATAACTATAATTCCACTCATTGAGGAAAAATTGTTTTAAAAAAAGCATATTTGCAATGTATTGATTTTCTTGCTTTGTGAATCAGTGAGCAACTTTCTTGCTGTCCATTAACTAAGTTCCCATCATAAGGAATACCTGCAGCTCCTTTTCAAAGTGTGATGCTAACAAGCAAATCTCAGTAGTCACCAACCTATCAATAGGCAGTAAACTGTCTAAATGGATTTGGTACATCACTCCAATTAGATGTGCTGGGATCACCATTGATGCTTTAATTGGGGACAGGTTTCTTTTATCATCCAGAAAGTCATCTTCTTAAAAGGACTTCTTACTTAAAACATTTAAAATCTTACTTTAAAAAGTCTAACAATAATGTTGATTAAAATTAAACGTAAGTTGACTAGGAATCACAATTTATTCCTGAGGAATGACAAGCTATTTTAAGAATCACATCAAATCATACATTGTTCTGACTGAAACACTAGTTTCTTAAAATATTTTTGCAAATATCATTTGTGAAAGCAAAGGTCTAGGAATGTGATCAATAGGACCATGATTCTCTGAAACTGGCATTTTGATCTATTTTCTTAAGTATTTCATACATGTTTGATTGAGCTGCTCAAATATTTTACAGCTTACAAAATCAGTAAATAAATTTGATAGACAACTATGTCTAGTCTAATTTTCTTTGTAATTTTGTCAAATTTTGCTGACTTGAACACACAAATCTACAATCACTGTATACTCTTGGAAAATTCTCCTCAGTGTTACCTGCCTTAAAATGAAGCTTAAAACTATTAACATTATTATACTACATTCTTTTAGGTAATATTAGCCTGGAATACTCAAGGCATAATTTCATCCGCCTTTATTTTCTATTTTCTCTGCTACTATCTTATAGGAATTTTTGAAGATCAAAATTTAGAATTTCTGTTTTGGTTTTTTGGTTTGTTGCTGCTGCTTTGTTGCTACTATGTAGACCTAGCTGACAAAATGAGCTAAGTTGCTTCTAACACCTTGGACTAAGGAGATTGCATGCATACACTACCACATCTGGCCAGGGCATCTGCTTTTAATAATTTAAAATAGAATTAAGAATAAATTAAGAAATTTAATTCTATCTTATAGATATTGTTAATAAACTTGATTGTTTTGCCATTCCATGTTTTTTTTCCTACTATTATTTTCCTATACTTCTTTTTAAATTCCTAGCTACATTAAGTTTTTTTTTTTTTTCTAAACAAATTTAGGTTAGTTTCTTTTGTGTTTACTACCATTAGTTGTGATACTGATACCCAAACTTATGTTTTTTAAACAAAAACTAAAGATAATCAGAATGTCTACAATCTTCTTTAAAGAAGAAACTATACATGTCATATCTCTGTCCTCATCTCCTTTTCACTCCAGGTTCCTCAGTGCAAAATGTGGGTAATTTTTGCACAAAATCCACTCATGGTTTACTGTAATGATTTAAGAAAAATTATGTGTGCAAAGGGCTTGGCAGAATGCCAGTCTTCATGAATGACAATTATTATGTCACTATCACTTATCAAATACTTTACATTTTCTTGATATCCTTATTCTCCTTTGAGTAATATAATAATATATATCCTTACTCGCCTTTGAATTTTTATTTCAGTATTTTCCATTTGTCATTGCTACTATAACTATGAATAAACAGAACCCAGAAATATTCTCCATTTGACACCAATAGGCTCTCTATCTTTCCTACTGCCTCTAACCCTACTAGTTATCTTGATTTCAATACTTTATCCTAGACTCCAATACTGTGTCCCTACTCACAACTGACCCTTGGAATTACCCTTAGGATTCATATGTAGAAGGCCTAAACTCCAATTTGATGCTATCTGAATTATGGTCTTAAGGAGGTAATTCAAGCCATAAGGTTGAAACCTTAACCCAATGTGACTGGTGATTTTATAAGAAGAAAGGAACAAACAGTTTGATCACTTTTTCTTTTCCTGCTAAGCAAAGATACTAATACTATGAGAAGATGGCAACGTACAAGTCAAGAAAATGCCTTCATCACAAACCAACCTGACCTACGTTTCTATCTTGGACTACAAATCTGGAGAACTATGATTGTGTTGTTAAGCCACCGAGATGCTCCAGCAGACTAACATTCCCACATCCCTTCTTGCCACCAGGGTTTGTTTGTTTTACTTGTGCCAATTGTTCCTATTTATTTGTCTTGTTCTCCTATTTCAAATAATTCTGGCTTCTGTGAATGTAATGTATTTTCATTTCTCACTTATTCTTTAAATATATTAAAATCCAATACTCAATTCTATCCCTCAACCAAAATTCACCTTAACAGAGTCAGTTACTTAAATTTCCAACTAACTGGCCTTTTCAGCAATCATCATGTCAGTGAGGCTATGCCCAGCACTTCACACTGTTTTTACTTAGGGTAATATCTAAGTGGGCAGTTATAGTTTCCCCAGGAAAAGTGATGAATCAGTTCTAAACATCTAACTCTGAATTCCAAGAGACACAGACACAAAAGACTCTCAGAAAACCAGAGCAGGAAAGCTTGTAAACAGAAACTTCTAAGTAATCTAAACATCTTTTAAAAATTGAAAGGTTGGAAACAGATGCTAGGTACAGGTAGAGACTGTTGAGAAAAGTATTCGCAAGAATATCAACATTAGAGCAAATGGGGAAGCACTATAAAAGAAACTGGATAGGATAGTCAAAATTGCAGGGTTAGGACAAGCAAGGAAGATAATTAAGAAAATTATCTGGAAAAGAAAGAAATTTTTAAAGGGCCAATATTTCTAATGAATAGGTTACAAGCTCACTGAAAACAGAACTTGTCTTTTACTTACTAATTAATAAAAAACACACTGATGAACTGAATCATTCCTATAATAATAACATTTTCCCCATTTCTAATTTTATTATGAATTATAATTTGATTTGCAGTTGTGCCACAGGTACAGTGCTTCACTCTTTAAATTCATTACTGAACTCTAAAGGATTTAAAATACTTTTCAACTGTAATCTTTCTATTACCACCAACGTCTTCACTCTTAAAATCTCAGCTTGAAATTTTGTTTCCTAAAATCAACTTTAAAATAATTTTTACCTCAATTACAGATGCTCATACGATAACTTATGTTTTTGTAATTTTTGGTACCAGAAAAATTGTCAATATAAGACTCAATTACCAGGCACCCCCTAGTGGCAGTAAAATCGTGATAGGAAGATTAAGACATGGAGGTAGAATTTTCTTTATAGTTCTGACCAAAACTTAAAATCATTTGTCAGTAAACAATTTAAAAGCATATTACTTTATATCTGTTTTAGTAAATAACTTACAATATACTGTCATTGAGAGAAAAATTCAAAGTCTTTTATAAAAGTGAGCAAATATCTACAAATATGAGCCCTAACCTTTTAGAGAAGTCTCAACTAAATGTGTATTAATACAACTTTTTCAATGTCATGAGTAGCTACATATGTCCCTTCATACTACATCATTTGTCTTTCTTTGAATATCTGCCATTGTTCCTAATCATGAAACATCATGGAAATTTGGTAAAAATCAACAAGCCAACTATAAAACAGTTTTCATTCCCGAATAAGCACTGCATTTCAGCAGCACTGTAGGCCCTGCAGACGTAGGGAATAAATTAGGAATCAGAGGTCAGCTACAAGGTGGCAATAAAGAAGACAATTCCATGAACCCAGAATGACATTCTGGTGATGACAAAATCAGCAGCTGAACATAAGGACCACGAAACTCCAAAGTCAGCTTGAAACTAGTTTTGATATAATATAAAGACTCAGAAAATATTGTTTTGTCACTAGCACAATCAGTATAAACAGGCCATTTGCTTCATTTAATAGTACTAAATTTAATTTGCAACTAAATACTGGATCACTTTACATATGTACTGAGTTCAGAGCTAGAATGAAGTCTCTCTATCCTAAGAAAAAATTCTATGAGAACTTAAGTAAGCATTGATCTGGCTTTATCTTGTAGAACTTAACTGTATTTTCCTCAATCTTCTTTGGCAATAAGACACTGGGGTTGTATTTATTTTTTCTCCTCCCTCTAATCTTTGTCCTTTAATCAAAGAAGGGCCATTCTGGCTCTCCCCCAACCCCCTAAGTGCTCACAGGAGCTCAGAAGCCTGAATACAGTAGGTAATACTAAACAATAGCTCTGTTTGATTATTTTTAATATACAGGCATTTTCCAACAGATTTTTCTTTGAAAGAGGATTCTATCAGTAAATTAAATAAACAATCTAACCAAATAGTGTGAAAATTGATACACTTAACAGTTGCTAATAAATTAAAGCTTCCATAAAATTTTTATTTATTATACTTATAAACAACTCATAAAAAATTTCCCATCAAATGTTTCCTTTCAGATTTCCAGGAGAAGTAAATCCCTTACCCAGCATGACTAGATGATGAAGGTGGTGGCAGGTCTGGTGTAAGGACATAAAGACTGTTGTTTTTTGGCAAGTGTAGTGATTTTAAGACCGTCTGAAATAGGAAAAAAGAAGAGAAAACAAAAATAAGTATTAATTTCTACATTGTACATTATTAATTTCTACAATTCTTGAATGTTTGGTAACTTTTAGGTTGGTTTTCATCTTTTGGTAATTTCCTAAATATAACAGAAGAACAGCTAAATCCCAAACATCTTGTTTCTGCTATTTTTACTGCAAATTAATAATACAAATCTGAGCATAACACTATAATATAAACTTTTAGCTCACTGGAGATGCATATAGATAAGAGCAAAATTAAGTCATTAATTTCCCCACTGAAGTATAATCATGTTAAAGCAAAAATTAGTAATGCAGGCTTTCAGAAAATTTTAAGACCTAGAAAAATTTATAGAAAGCACCTCAAACCAAGGATCTTTAAGGGTAAGGAGCTGTACCCTAAGAGGGTACATAACTTGGATGTGAACTCTAGTAAGAGTTACCTAGATCTCTTTATTCTGACTCTAAAGATCTTTTATTATTAAAAAGATCTGTTGAGTCACACTCATATATAAACTTATTCAAATTTCACTGTCAGAAAACTCATACATTTTCGATTCTCAATCTTAAGGTAAGCACTTGCTAACATGCTTTCTGACAGCTACACATATTAGGAAATTCATTTTCACATCATGCACTCAGGGCATGCATTTTATTCACGAATCTTACTGCATTACACCTCTGTACCAAGACTACCGTAATCATAAGAGTGGCTAGAATAACTCAGGAGTCCTGATTCTGGGGGGAGTGGGGTGGCAGGGAGCTTATGTTTTAGTAGGATTAAAGTAATCTATATAGTTGAAAATTAGAAGGTGATAGTTTTTTTTGTTGTTGTTTTCTGTTTTTTTTTTTTTTTTTAAACTAAAGATAAGGCAGGGAGCAAGGATGAAGAATGTGAGTTAGGGTAGCTTTGCAATTTTAAGTTGGATAATCAGAGTCTGTGATCATTGAGCAAAGATTTGAAAGTGGTAGGCAACAAACAAAAATATACAGGGAAAGAGCACTTCAGACAAAAATAGGCAGTACAAATGTTTAAACAAATAAACGTAATTTTTAAGTTTAAAAAGAAGATGGCAGACAAAATGGACTGAAGGCATGAGTTGGAGGATTGTTGGGAGCTAAAATATTAGATATATTAAAAGCTGAGAACTGTTAAGCAAAAAAACAACAGGAACTTGAAATTACAAGCTTCTGCCATTGTTAGTAAAATGTTAAAAGCATGGGGAGATAAGTGAGGCAAAGAAAGAACAGTGAAAGATGTTCTGTGGGGAGAAGTCCAAGGAACTAGGTGGCCAAAGTAAGAATATGAGATACTGAAATTAATGAGGAGTTGGAGACTACTTAGCAGTTAAGTGTGCTTGCTGTTTTTGCAAAGAACCAGTCTGGTTCCCAGTACCTTGGCCAGGCTGTTCACAACTATCTGTAACTCCAGTTCCTGGGATCCAACACTCTCTTTTGGCCTCGGGAGGTAAATACACCCACAAATGCATACATATCAGCAAAAAAACAAAATAAATCTTTTCTTAAAAAATTATCTAAGTCTTGATGGAATTTAGAATTAAATTAGCAAGCAATAAGACAAAGAGTAATTATAAGCCAGAAGTTAACAATCATAAGGAAATAAGGGAAGATAACTTCAGTAAAGGTGATATAAACTTCTGACATAAATTCAAAGCTAAAGAAATTCTCATAGGAAAGACTGATAATGATCTAAAAGCAAAAATGATGATATATATTTTGTAATTTATTTCAATTGTGTGAGACCTGCCAAAATAAAATCAACACTAAGAAGACTACAAAGGAACAAACTTTTTGAGGAAGATGCCTTTACTCAGAGGAAGACAGCAAAGGAAGTGTACATGGAAGAGTTTAATAAAAGTAATTTTGCTAATGATCGATTAGTTTAACAGCACACAGCAAAAAGCCTTATGGCACTGTAGAGGAAGGAGAAATAAGACAGGTGTAGGGTGTACAGTCTATGAAGATTTGAGAGAGGAGTGATTTGGAAATTTCAGACTTCTTACGGTGATTGGCATAAACAGGTAAAGGGTAGCAAAATCAATCCTGGCAGTGTCTAAACAAATAATAATGGCAAGGCTGTACGTGTTAAGAAGCGAGGAGTGATTAAGGAATCCTTAGACAAGGATTCCTTAATTCTGCAGATGGAGAAAAAGACACCTGGAGAAAGGTGATCTTACCCAAGCAGGCCACAGGAAGAACTTTTAACTGCTCCATGAGAGGGCCCATCTTACTAAGTGCAGTCTTAAATAAAAATAAATACCCTAATTATTTACATTAGAATGACATTTCTGTTGTATTCCACTTCTTTCTCCTCTCCTCCTTCCTTTTTATGTTGTCTGTTACCCATTCAATTAACTTCACAACCTATTAATGGTTTATGGTGTGTGGTTTCAAAATCAAACACCACAATACACAATTAATTAAAAGAATACAACCTACCAGGACACACCAAAGTCAATTTTATGTCAAATATGTAATGCGTTTTTGAAATTGATGTGTTCTCTCAATAATGTTGGCATGCACACAAAGTGCATCCATAAATACACAGGAGAGTTATCTTTACCTTTTATCCTTTATTTCTTTGTGGACTACAGAGAAATACTCTTAGCACTCAACCAAGTCATTTTTGTCCTTTTGCTTATCTACTACCCAATGAGTCTCCATTAAATCTTCCCCCACTAATCATACAGAGCATCATTAAATAAAATGGACCCTTTTCTTTAGGCCATTTGTTCCTGCATTAATCCATGAATCTTTATTTGATACTGATATATCAAGAATTCTATATACACTGGTGAAAGAAACAGATATGGTCCCTTTTCTTTTAATGTAATGGTGGAGAATTATGGGATGAGAAGCCAATGAGAAATGTCTGTTACAGAGGTAGTAGGAAAGCTAAAACCCAAAAGATAGAAAATTGCCATTTATATAAAGATTTGGAGGTAATGATTCCAGAAAAACTGAACATTATCTGCCAGGTATTGGGTAAAACGTTAAGTCCTAGTTTAAAAAAAAAAAACAAAAAACAAACAGAAAAGATTTTTAAATAAGGTATAGCATAGAAGGTGAGGGTAAGAAAACTCCAGGGGTACTGTAGAGAAAGGGGTAAAACTTTGCTTCAGTAAATGAGCAATATACTTCAATTTATTTTTTGGGCTTTTTTAAAGATTTATTTATTATGTATATTTAAGATGTATTTACTATGTATTCAGTGTTCTGTCTGCATGTATCCCTGCAGGCCAGAAGAGGGCACCAGAACTCATTATGGATGGTTGTTAGCTATCATGTGGTTGCTGTGAATTGAACTCATGACCACTGGAAAAGCAGTCAGTGTTCTTAACCTCTGAGCCATCTCTCCAGCCCTCAATTTGTATTTTTAAAAGATCATTCTAGCTGCTAAGCAGGGAATGAACTAGAATTATCCATAAAAAGAAGCTAAGAAAACAATGGTGAAGCTCAATTAGGCCAGATACAGATACTAACAGTATGGATTAGGCAATTACATCAAAAATACTGAAAAGCAGCCTTAATTGAGTTATATTTTAGAATTATAATCAATGGGGATATACCAAAATATCCTTTGTGCTATTTTATGGACATAGGAGATAATCAGGAGTTCTCTTTAAAGCACAGTTGTTAGGGATGCCAGTAAGATATGCAAGAATGGAGTTGGATATGGTGTACATCCACAATCCGAGCACCTGGACAGGGGAAATGTACATTATGTGGTAAACTGGCATGTGTTGTTTGAGCTCATTTAAGAGGTTAGCTTGGGAAACATTTCAAACCCAAGCAGGAATGTCTCTTTCAAGGTCTGGGAATAGGCTGCTGCCTAACACTGTGATGGAGTGAACATAATAGCAACACAGACCAAGAGTAAAAATATTTTGTCCATGAAAACAGCTATAAGGTGAGACATTTCCAACGGAAGTTACTATTATTTATCCACGGCATAAAAGCATCTAAGGTGAAAAGAGAAGCATGAGGCTCAGCTATGGGAAGCTCAGTCAGATAGAGAGAGCTCAACAGTGAGCGAGCTCCAGATAACTGCCTCAGCTTCCCTGGTCAATTTTTGCTGGAGGTTGCAAGCACCCAATTTAAAGATGATATCTCTAACAGTTGTTACTTTTCCCTTTACTAGGAAGTCTCACCTGGGGCAGGGGGTGTCACTCTGGATGGAGAACTTCAGTTGGCTGCCTTAAAGGGACTTCCCCAAGGTGATTTCCATTAGATGTGTTGAGTTCCCGATTTGATGATGTTTGCTTTGTATTTATCATTTGCTATTTATTCTTTTACTTTGGTTTGCTATAAACTGTAATGCAGTCACTCATGAAAAACTAAAAATATGCTACTGAAGATCATTCTCCAGACTGTACAGAACAGAAGTGAAGACAGAAAGATTGGAAGTTCAAAGACAGTTTTAGCTACTTAGTGAGTTTGAGACCAGCCTGAGCTACATGAGACCTTGTCTCAAATAACCAAGAAGAGAGAGAAAAGAAGGGAAAGGAGGAAGTGAAAAGGGAAGGAAAAGAAGATATGCAAATACAAGAGTTGTCAACTTAAACATGTGAATTCATTGAGATATGGTATGGAAATATAAATTTGGATGGAAGCAATCAAAAATTAATGGCATAAAAATAATAGAAATCCCACATGGAAGAACATATAAATAAGTAAATGGAAGTATGGTGTCTAGTCAAAAGACAGTCCAAAAACTAGAAAAATAACTTATGAACATTTTCAAAATGACCACCTTTCTTTTAACAAACTATTATTTTGTTACCACAGGTTTCTCGATTTAAAAAAAGAATTGTATAAATGATTTTATTCTTGCTGCTATTTTTATCAAGGTTGTTGAATTGTTCATCCATACCTTTTTAAATCCTGAATATCCAAATAAACAAGGGCCAGGAATGAAGATCAGTTAATAAAGAGTTTCCTTAGCATGCAAACAACCCTGGGTTTCAACTTGGGGACTACATAGCACCAGAAAGCAATAAACTAAGGATATGGGATAAACCTAGCTGCTTTTAAATGGTATGTGAGTTAAAATAGCTTTTTATATTTTTAAGTGATTGAGGAGGGATAAAAAGAACATTTCATAACATCATAACATTAAAACTCTGTGTCCATAAGTAAAGTTACACTGGAAAATGTTATGCTTGCTTTTCACACTTTGTCAGGGGTGTTCTCACTCTTTGGGGATAGAGCAGGATAATAGTAACAGAGGCTGGATAAAACCTAAATATTTATGACCAGACAATACAGAAGAGGCCTGTTGACCCTAATATAGCACATCATTAAGTGTATCAAAAATTTAAAGTTCTTGCCTATCTGGGATTCTAGTAAATGTCTCAATGAAACATAAGACCAACTCAATATACCAATTTTGATACATATATATAATTTGTAAGCACAACTTACCACAAACCACTGACAAAATAATGAACCAAAGGATTTTATTTGTGCCTGGCTATAGAAATATAAACTCAGGAATAGTGTAAGAAGATTTGTAAGTACTTCTACCTTAAACATAGAAATGTTTAACACTAACTCATTTATTTCTCCCTCTTCTCTCTTAAGAAAGAAAAGTGAAATATTTTATACATGGGTCTGGATTTAAAGGGTCCAAAACAATAGCCACTACTACTTGAAAACTACTGTACCTTCTGTAAATTCTCAAGCTATTAATTCATTCCATGCACCTGCCACTAATCAAGGAAATGAAGAAATATTCTTACCATTTAAATTTTCCAAGTTTTAAAAGTTTCCTATTATCTTTGTTCCATATGCAATACTTGGCATAAATGTACACAGTGTGTATGACTTCTTTCAGGCCAGTAAGTAATTGGTCAGTAAATTATTATTCCAGGGCACTCACTGATACCCTAAGAGGTTTGAGAAAAAGGTAAATGCTCTCAAAAAGGTACCAACCTTCTAAAAAAATACTCAGAAATAGAAAAAACATGCCACATAGTGTTTTTATTTGCATACCTAAACTCATCTAAAACCATTATTGGTTTATATGAAATTATTTAACTTGAAAAACATTATTTGGGAATTAAACTAAACTACTACTATCAAACTTACATCTGACATACATACACTATCTAAAACTAATCTTTCAGGATGAATATTAGGTGGTTCTTGCCTAAAATCCCAGCATTTGGAGAAAATAAAAGCAGGAGGATCAAGAGTTCAAGGCCATCCTCAGCTACATAGAATTTAAGATCAGCCTGCACTACATGAGACCCTGTCTCATGAAACAAACAAGCTAAAACAACTTTTAGGCATTACTTAGCTAATCACATAACTTAATTTTATTTCTAGTCAATTAAGAAACTTACACTGTCTTCCACATCTCCAGTCTTCCAGCCTTTTAACAGCATTTTAGGCACAGGTATCTGAAGTTCATTTTCTAGAATCTGTTTAATCTCTCCTGTAAAATAAGAAGAGACCAAACATAACTAACAAGGAAACAGTCAATCATTGACTATATCAGGACAAACATTAATATCTGGTATACAATATACAGTCAACGACATTTGACTGATGAATACATGCTTAAAAACTCACTACTCCAAATTTAAAATGTCCTTCATCAAACAATATGCTGTTCCAGTGAAGAACTTGGGCTTCAAAATTAATGACAAAAATATTCACAACCATTCTTTTTAAGAATTTGAACTGAAAACAAGCCAATAAACAATACTATTAGGAATATAAGTGAAACCAGATTATGTGACTTGGAATAATGTAATGCTTGCAAGGTAGGCACCAGCCACAATATAAGCCAAGCCTAAGGCAGGTTTTGATATGTTAATGAACCAGCCCTAAGCTGTGAGCCCTAGTAACCTGAATAATATAAAAGTTGGAACTTTGGAGACGGCCCCCAAGATCTCACTGCAGTGATCCTAACACAGCATCTCAAGCCTCTGTACTGACTCCCACGAGCAAGGAAACTTGAGATTGGCCACATGTGGCTCTGGCCACCTACAGACCACTGCTGAATTCACACATGTCTGCCTGCCTGTCAGCACTAGCTGCTGGCCAAGGCTTTCTAGGACCTCTGGGCCTGCCACAGATCAAAGGTGTGCAAGATGGACACTAGTCTAAGCTCTCAAACTCACTCCTGAAGCACACTCATCCAAAGTGGGTTCCCCAATGGAAGCCTGTAGCATTTCCTGTCCATCCCATTCCCCTAGGTGAGATGTCTGTTTACATGAGACTACCTCAATCTTTATAATATCAACAAATTATAAAGAACAGTTCTTTGTTTAAACACAACATATCCAAAAGGCAAATCTCATGAGGACATTCTAATTGTCAAGTGCCTTACAGCCCACCATATCTGCTCTGCACAAATATCTACCATGCAATCAGCATATGCCAAGGGTAGTACATAGAGTACAAAACGTAAGATACCTCAGTATAAGGGAAGCACATTTTGAGATGAAAATTTGGATTAACACTTTGCTTGGGAAAAATACAGACACTTGCTTGTTCTTACTTTATCCTCTATGAAATAGAATATATAACTTTCCCAAGTTCATCTACCCATAGTAGCTGACACAAGAAGAAATACTTTAACTGAAAAAAACTAAAGGCAATATATACGATCTAGAAGACAATTTAAAATGTGTTGAAACATCATAGAGTTACAGAAGAGGGAGAGGAGCAAACTACTGAATCAAATAGCTAAAGGCTTTACAAGGCAGTCAAAACTTAAATCCAGCATGAAGTGTAACTGAAACCAGTCCAAAGTACTGCTGGGCAGCACAGGACAGACAAACCAAAGAGCTTCATTTACTGAAAACAAAAGACTGAAAGGCTGAAGTAAAATTAATAAAAGTAAAGGACAAAATAGTGATGACCGGTCAAGGAAATACAATTTTCCCATTAATTCTTAACTTCTTTTATAGGAACCAAGTCTACTTACAATATGCATGAGCTAGTTTCAGGCATTCACTCCACTGCTTTAAGGTGATCTGAATTTACAAACCTTTCTTATATTTATCTGCCTATGATGGGTTGCTACTAGTCTATATAATTTAAAATGACACATAATACCATTGTTTTTATATTAAATAAATAAAAGCAATTGAATATTAAAACTGGGAAAATAAACCTATTTTTAAGGAGAAAATGAAAGAAGAAAAAGAATTTTATGTTACACAAGTTCTATAGAAACACAACTGCTTAATCAGCACCACCACAACAGAGTCATTCAGGCCTTGAGAATTTTTTTTTTTTTTTTTTAACTTTCTTTAAGGAAAGACTGGGACAATAAGATGGTTCCATGAGTAATGGTATACTTGTGGTCAAGATGGAAGACCAGAATTTAATGTCTGGCATCCACGTGGTAGAAAGACAGAAATGTCTCTGATAAATTGTCTTCTGACCTATACACATGCCATAGTATGTTTGTACCACACACATACAAACACACACTAAAATGCAATTTTTAAAAATTAAGTCCTTTTGTGCACTCTAGGTAGTAACTAGGCTTAAAAATAAAGGAAGAAAGAAACAGGGAGGGACGGAAGGAGGGAGGGAAGGAGGGAGAGAGGGAGGGAGGGAGGGAGGGAGGGAGGGAGAAGGAAACTTCCTTCAACACTGCATCTATAAAAGTACAAATCAATCTTGGTTTCCAAAAATGTCACTGCTGACAAATATTCTGTTTGTGGACAGTAGAAAGGTAAGTCGCGTTTGTTACCCAAACACATATAAACACAGTCTTTCCTTTCATGGGTAAAAGTGCTATTTACAGAACTGTACTTGTCTGGCATATGCATCTACAAGGCTGCACAGTGCTTTCCTCTTAAAACTTATCTTCACCAGATACTTCTTACACTCTTGAAAACATTCAGGCTTCCTGACTTAAAAAGGTTTTTAGTAGGAAAAAAAAAAAAAAGTAGTAGTAGTAGTAGTGGGGGAGACAATGTCCCCGCTATTCTTTGCAGAAACTCTGGATAAGACCAAATAGAACTAAATGCCTTTGATCCATATGCCGAGAGGAACAGAAAATAAAACCAGTTAACCAACTTTTCTCACTGCTTTTCATAGTCTCTAATTCTGTTAGAATTCTCCCTTTTTCTGTGAGATGAACTTTGTTAGTGTCCATATACGTGAGAACACCTGAGCTTTATCTTTCTGGACTTTAATATAATATCCTGTATTCGCATCCACTTAGCCCCAAATGATAGGATTTCATTCCTTTCTACTGAATATTTCCTTGTGTCTCAACCATATGTTCTTTTCCTGTCATTTTTAAAAATTTAAAATAAAACAATTTAAATCATAACTTTTAAAGTCTTTTTTTAGTGTGCATATGGTGTGGGCAAACATGCCAAAGCATGTACACAGAAATCAGAGGTCAGCCTCATCAAAGTTTTCTCCTTTCACCCTGGGAGAAAAAATATTTTCTTTTCCTACCTAATATCCCTGTCTGATCTTACTATTAAAGCAATGCTGGTCTCAAAAACAGATTGCAAAAATGTTTCATCTTTCTCTATTTGTGAAGGATTGGCAGTAATCTTCTTAAATATTAGACAGATTCAATCATAAAGCCATGTACCCTTGAAGCTTTCTTAATGAGAACTATGAACTTTCAGTTCAATTTTCAAATTTGAGGAGCACATTAAATATTTACACAAATACATATATTGCAAATACATACTTATATATAAATTTTCTTATACTCAATGTCACATCTTCAGATATCTTTCCTTCCCAAAATGAATAATCTATGTTCTCTCTAATCTTGTTCATGTTAGTAAGATTACTGATTTTTATTAACCTCAAAAATGATGAAGTTTTCTTCCTTTATTACTTACAGATTTTCTATTTTATTAGCTTCTGTTCTTAAAAATGGTATTTTCTTTCTGTACTCCTTAATGCCTTAACAGTTTTATGAAGCAACAGTTGACAGAGTAAATGGTATAAACTTAAAATCAATAATCTGATAAATTTTAACAAATTTACCCAATAATGAAACTACCATAATCAAGGTCACAAATTTACCTCCATTTCCAAAGGTTTCTTTGTTAACTCCTCCTGCCATCTCACTTCCTCCTCGGGGAACCTCTGAATTGGACTCATACAACTACAGAGTAATCTGAATTTTCTAGAATTCTATTTGACTTCTTTTACACAAATTATTTTCCAAGAAGCAGAATTACAGTATATGGACATTAAATTCATTTGTGTCCAAAGGCCAATACACACACACACACACACAAACAGTTGCTTCTTGCTTAGACTATCGTAAATCAAGTTGTTATGAACATTACTATTCCCACCTTTAATAAACATATACTTTCATCTTTCCAAAGTAAGTACCTGGGAAAGAAATGACCATTGTATTTTTAACTATGGAGAAAAGAAAAAGAAAAACCTGCCTGCTTTCTACTAATATAAAGGATCTTTAAGTTCATCTTTTCTTCAATATCTGATTTGCATATACAATATGCTTGTCATCTCAAGAATCATAGTCTTCATCTTGGATATTAAAAGTTTCTTTTGATAGGCTAGTTCCACTAGTCATTATGGACCATTTCTTTGCATTTTGTAGATTAGAAATCTAATGGCAAATTTTGTCTTTTTGGAAGCTCAATATCTTTGCATTCCTATAAATATTCTTGAGCCTTCTATTGAGTTACAATTCATCATTTTTAAATAGTTCGATTACTTTGAGTTTTGCTTTTGGAATTTTGTAAATAAATTTTTCTGTTTTTTAAGACGAGAGTTTCTCTGAGTAGCCCCCCCCCAGCTGTCCTGGAACTTGCTTTGCAGACCAGGCTGGCATCGAATTCTCACAGAAATCCACCTCCCTCTGCCTCCCAAGTGCTGGGATTAAAGGCATGTGCCATCACTGCCTGGCCAGATTTTGTAATATTTAATCTAATGCTAATTATTCCCACAAACATTTGTATCACAATTCAGTCAGAAATGTTTTCTCATTTACCTTGTGATTCCTCTTTTGACCATAAAACAGTTAGTTAATTTCTAAGTATTTTGAGAATTTTCCCTATATGGGATGTGTTTATTTCTCCACTTCTAGGTGGTTTTTAAATTGTACTATTACTTTCAGCTATTTGTTTATGATTATGATGTAGGTGCCCTTAGATTACACCTGATCTAAGTAATTTAGCTAACACTGAGCTATTCTTTACAATTGCCTTTTTTGTAATCTGCACTCTATTTGGAAGGGTCTAATCAAACACATATCACACCACTTTTCCTTTACAGGTCTACTGGGTTCCCTATTTCTTTCCCCACTGCCTGAACCCAGTACTTTTTGTTGTATGTACTTCACTTCCTACTCTTTCTACTGCTATGTCTTATAATTCATTGATATTTTCTTCAACTGCTAATTTAATTCATTTGAGTAATTATGTGTGTGCATGCTTATTGGGCATGTGTGTGTATATATCATGA